TGGGTGCCATTTATGGTCTCTTTAGGGTATATTCCCAGTAGTGGAATTGCTGGGTCAAATGGTATCTCTATTTGCAACTTTTTGAGAAAGCGCCACATCGCTTTCCACAGTGGTTGCACCATTTTACACTCCCACTAACAGTGAATAAAACCAAAACCAATCAACAACACAGCAAACTCGAACTCATTCCATGCCGTTGAGCTGAGGCTTCTGAGGCTGTAGATCACAGGAGAGGAGATTGCCTGTCTTTCTGCCTCTGAGTCACTGATGGATTGGAACCCCGAGAGAGGTGCCATCTTTGGGTTAACAGTACCATTCACTGTGATTTACATCCCCAGAGCTCTCTGCCTGTAAAGATTACAGCCTAGGATTCCTATAGGGCAGTTCTCTGTCATAAAGATTGACCCTAGAGTAGAAATTGACTTGCATACAGCATGTGACTTGCCTGATAAATAATAAACCACTCTAATAGAAAGAGATAGAGGTTGTTAACAATTATAGTTTGCTTGGCTCCACAGTCAACACTCTTAAAACCAGCAGTCAGGAAATGAAAAGATGAATTGCATTGGGAAAATCTGCTGTCAGGGACCTCTCCAGAGTACTGACAAGCAACCATGTCAGTCTAGAGACTAAGGTACACCTAATCCAGGCCATGATCTTCACATTTACTTGCTATGCATCAGAGAGCTGGACAGTGACTAAGGATGACAGAAGAATAGATGTCTTCAAGTTGTGATGCTGGAGAAGAACATACCATAGACTGCCAAGAAAACAAATATGTCTTTCTTGGAGAAGGTGAAACCATGTCTCTCCTTGGAGGCTAGGATTTTGAAGCTTCATCTCACATACTTTGGGCATGTGGCCTGGAGAGACTGGTCCTTGGAGAAGGGCATCATGCTTGGGAGGGTGGAGGGCCAGTGCAGCAGAGGAAGACTCTGGATGAGATGGACTGATAAAGTGACTAGGACAATGGGGGTTGGTGTGTCGGAATTAGTGAGACTGGCTCAGGACAGGGCCGGGTACAGAGCTGCTATATATAGATTTGCTATGGGTTATAAGTAAATCGACAGCACATAACAATAACAACAATTGTTTGTAGCTACTATTAATGTTATTTTTATCAGTTTTATATATTAGAGTTCTATACATAATTATATTTGGGGAAAAGGTTTGCTAACTTTTTACTTTTAGAAAAAAAACCCTAAAATTAGTACTCTACTGACAGGAAAATGCAATCCCAGTTTCCTTGGAATCCCATGAAAATATAATCTATGTTCCAAATTTTTAGTAATGCACTGAGGGCATATTTTAAAATGTACTATCGTCTCTCAGACAGCTCTGATGCGCTAGCATTTAAGGAGTTGTGCTCACATTCCAAAGGCAAGATGTTTGAATCTACCAGATGCTCCACAGGAGAAAGATGGAAATGTGGGTTATCATCTCCCATGTTTAAATATATAAAGATGTTGTTGTTCTTTTTATGTACTGTCGAGTAACTTGCAACTCCTAACAACCTCATGCACAAAGCTCTGAACTCTGCTCTGAGCCAGTCTCGTTATCTCTGACATACCTACCTCTGTTGTCTCAGTTACTGAATCAAACCATCTCATCCGGGGTCTTCCTCTTCTGTACTGTCCCTTGAACCTTCCGGGTGTGGTACCCTTCTCCAAAGACTGACCAAAGTATGTGAGACAGAGTCTCAAAACTCTTGCCTCCAAAGATCTGGTTAGTTTTACCTTCTCTAGGACAGACCTGATGGTTCTCTTGGCAGTCCATGGAATGTTCAAAACTCTTCTCCAGCACCACAACTCAAAGGCATCATTTTTATGTTATCCTTGGTCATTGTTTACAGCTCCAGTGGCCTAGTGGTAAGAAATTGCAGTGCAGTCCCAAAGAAATACAGTTGAAATACACCAGCTGCTCCACAGGAGAAGGATGGACAATCTCCTGTGCAGTTAACACACGTACACATTTTTATATCTCCTTACTGGAGACTAAGGTGCATCTGTACAGGCCATGGTCTTTGCAATCACTTGTTATGTGTCAGAAAGCTGGACAATGACCAAGGAGGATAAAAGGAAATTTGATGCTTTTGAGCTTTGGTGTTTGAGATGAGTGTTGAGGGTACCGTGGACTGCTAAGAAAACAAGCAGATTCATCCTGGAGAGGGTTAAACCAGGCTGTTCTTTGGAGGCAAGGATTCTAAGGCTTCATCTGACATACTTTGGTCATGTTGTAAGAAGATACTAGTCCTTGGAGAAGGACATCATTCTTGGGAGGGTGGAGGGCAGGCGCAGGAGGAGAAGGCCCTCTATGAGGTGGATTGATTCGGTGACTGGGGCATTCGGGATGAGTGTGTTGGAGACAATGTGATTGGCACAGGACAGAGCAGAGTTTAGGGCTGTTGTATATTGGGTCGCTATGAGTTGCAAGTGACTCAACGGCACATAACAACAACAAACATTACCTCTGTAAATGTGTCATTTACAGTCTCTGGAAAGCCGACCACTAAAGGGTCAGCTATGATTGTGCTCCAACTCAATTGGGTTGAGAGAGAGAGAGTTCTTTCTGTAGAACATCTTTTGTATTCAGCTGCAAAACAAGCAGATCTAGGTGAGAGGAAATATCAAACTCTACTCTCTATTTCTTAGACCACATCATCTAGAAGGAAAAACTGAATCTGAAGCAGTTAAAAGAAAATTGATTTCTCACTAGAAAAATAAAATGAAAAGCACTGGGACTAGTAAAAATAATTTTGTTTTACTTTTTTTCTTTTTTCCTGCTCTAGGTGTTGCCACATCTGCAAACTTCCCGGGAGAGTAATGGGGATCCGAGTGCTTCGTTTCTCTTTGGTGGTTATCCTTGTGCTGCTCCTAGTGGCTGGTGCTTTGACAACTCTACTTCCCAATATCAAAGAAGACAAGATGCTCGCTTTGCGTCGGGAGGTAAAATCACAGGGCAAGTCTACTGTTGATTCCTTCACTCTCATAATGCAGACGTACAACAGAACGGATCTCTTGTTGAGACTTCTAAATCATTATCAGGCAATACCACATCTGCACAAAGTGATTGTGGTGTGGAATAACGTTGGCGAGAAGGGACCAGACGAATTATGGAATTCTCTAGGACCTCACCCTGTCCCTGTGATCTTCAAAGCACAGATGACAAACAGAATGAGAAATCGACTCCAGGTCTTCCCTGAACTGGAAACCAGCGGTGAGTTGCAGCTTGGTTCTCAGCCTGTGAGGGTGGCGAAGAACCAGAGCTAGGAGTGAGGACACTGTTGGCTAGCCCTCTCCTTACCTTAACTGTTTGAAAAATACTGGAGAAATGAACTGGAAGAAATCATTATGATGTGCTTAAGGATAGTTCTCAAATTGTCAAGAAGTGGTTTTCTGGGGAAGAAATCATATACACCTTGTAATAATTGCAGTGGGGGTTGTAGTAATAATGGGGGTTGGTGTGTCAGAATTAGTGAGACTGGCTCAGGACAGGGTAGGGTTCAGAGCTCCTGTACATAGGGTCACTATACTTCACAAGCAGGCAACTCAATGGTACATAACAAAAATAACATACTATATTGATTGGGTTTATTTTTTATTTAAGCCTCTTGTTTAGAGTCAACAAGACCTCAGGGAGGGCCTTTGTATTTAAAGTTGGTTGGTACTATATGTTAGAGGAACAGTCTTCTTAGTGGTACAGCACTCTTCTGTCAATATGCTGTACTGAGGTTGCTGTGCTGCTGAACCTTGTGCCATTGATTGGGATGTCAGATGCCATAACAGTTACCCATGGTGGACTGTGTCTGGTGGAGCTCCAAGTTTAAGACAGGTTTGGAAGCAGCAGTGGCATCCACTTCCTAAACAACATGCCTCCAGAAACTCTAATGAACTTAGACAAATGTCAATAGTCATATAAAGGCTTTGGGCCTTTTGCTCATAGGGTCGCTGAGTTGTGCTCGACTGAAAGGCAATCAACGACAACAATAATGACAAAATTTAATTTTGTACAAAAAGATATGTTGTAATTCCTTATTATTACATTGGGGAAGGTAGGGAAGTGCCTCTTTGCTTATCCTTGCTGTATTTTCTGCCACCACCCTTTGTACCCATTCACAGTTATTTCATAAGATGGTAATTTGCTTAAAAGAACCTCATAGTTGCTTATTTCATTTCATTAGCTTTTTAGGTGATGGATACTAGGCTAACAAGAGGATAATGTTAACCTGAAGAAGTTTAAAATCAGTTGCAGTTTAAGTAAAAATTTTCTCTGGTAATAAGTCTTTCCAAGAACACATTTATGTACTAATTAGGCCAGCACATGCATTATTTGAATGATTTTATAGTGACACCATTTGAATGATTTATATAGTGACACCATTGTTCCTCACTACATTTGTTTTCATTTCTAATCTTAAATTTATGTTACTTTTTTTGCTCTTTTTTCAGCGGTGTTAATGGTGGATGATGATGTGCTCATTAGTGCCCAGGACCTCATTTTTGCTTTCTCTGTTTGGCAGGTAATGTTGCTATATCCTTAATAAAAGCATCTGTATAATTTCTTAGATAGTACTTAAAACGCCCGTCATGGTTTAGCATGAGAATTAACTAAAACATTATAGAATAGATTATCTAAAAGACAGACATTTTTTATGAGTAAGATTTTCTATGTTTAAAAGCAAACCTGTTATGATGTCTTCTATGTAGATTTGATTTCTGTTTTGTTCTATCATGGAGAATAAAGAGAACTACCTTCCAGAGAACAAGGAGAAAATAATCTGTGCAGCAAAAGCTAGAATGCAGAGAAGTGTTTTTTACAAGACCACAGATGTGTGGCAAATGAAAAAGAAATGTGTTTCTAGAACCCATTCGTAGGTAGGTTTGTTTTTTTTTTTATAGAAAGCATTTATTATATTTACAAAATTTAATCTCGTTTCAGCAATCAGTGTTTAAAATTGTGCAGTGACAATCCTCCCTGCACTATTGTAATGGCAGGTTTTTATTTTCTAAATCATGGTTGGGATAAGCAAGCATATGTTCCTTGCTTTTCTAAAAAAACAACACTCTGCTACTGAGCACGAGTTCCTAACAGCTGGATTTTACACATTGCACCACAATTACCTGAAACCAGAACTGCATACAAATACCCTGAAGCCTTCTCAAGTAATTAAGCACTGCGCTTCCAAATAAACGGTCTAATTTGTGCTGTAGTGACTTTACTTAATTAGCTACTTGGGATAAAACAGCATGAGATATTAATAGTAAGTGATCATAGTATTCTGCAGACATCAGCATTATTAAAACTTTCGTTGTTAACTTCCTGCCTGGTGTACTGATCAACAAATTGATTTTTCTACCTTATCAGCAGTTTTTCAGTCCCTGCAAATAAAGGCTGTTTAGGCAAAAAGTTTTAAAGTAGTTCTCCAGCTGAAGGATTTTTACTTAAAGTAAAAATTCAATTTACCCAAAATGTAAGGGAGGGGAGAAATACACTAGTTGTGGTTCATTAGAACAGTCTGAGTAGACCATAAGTTAAAGGCAGTAGGTGGCATAGTCCACAGACAGCTGGGCTGCTAACCCAAAAAGAGCATCTCCCTGAAAGTTCGAATCCACCAGAGGCTCTGAGGAAAAAAGATGGGTGGTCTCCTCCCATGTAACTTACAGCCTCCAAAAACCCACTGCAGAGTTAGCTGTGGGTCAGTTCTGATGTGACAATAATGAATGAGTGAGTGAAATACAATATGGGATTTTCTTCATAAAAAAAAATTAAAAATGTCAAGAACAATTTTAGTTCATTACCCAATTATTATCTGACTCCTGTAACTCAATGCAGTCAGTACTGATAAGTCCCCCCCACACTGTAACTTGTTTATACGTGGGCACACCACGTTAGAAGAGACTGCTGAGGTTTCTGTGCTTCCACGCCGACCCTATTATCTCCATTTGCAGTGCTTTCCTTTCCCTTCCTTCCCTCCTGCTTTTGTTGTTAGTGGCTGCAGGGTAGTTCTGATTCAGGGGTCTCCGTGTGTCCTGAGAACAGCTCTCTGGGATTTCAAAGTTGTGACCCTTCAGTGATCAATCTCCAAGCCTTTCTTCCAAGGCATCTCTGGATGGGTTTGAACCACCAAGCTTTTGGTTAACTGTTTGAATTTCCCAGCCACTTCCCTTCTTCCAGACAACTAGATTTCCACCATCCTTCCAGATCCCATAGATGGTGCATCCCCTCTGGTGCCTCCCAGCATTTATCCCCTGTTCTCTGACCTTCTCCTGTGTTTGCCAGAAATGTAATTGTCCTTCTATCCTCCATGTTCCCATCAGATTTTACCCACTGTACTTACAATTTCGTCTCAGTAATCTCATTCTTGTTCATAGAGCTATATATTATTCTGGACTGTGAGTTCTTTGGCAGAGAATTTAACCCAGCCCACCCATTCCCAATTTTAAAATTTTCTTTATTAAGTATAAAACTCAAATTATTAATGAAATTGAGAGGAACCTCTTTTAACCCGTTGTTGGTGTTGTTGTTGTTGTTGTTGTTGTTGTTGTTGAGTACTATCGCATCGCAGCCGACCCATAGCTAACCCTCCCGCCCGCGGGTTTTCAGAGGCTGGGAGGAGATTATCCGTCCTTCTCCTGCTGAGCAGCTGGTGGATTCGAAGTGCTTATATTTTTTTCTATGCTTCATTTCTTAAAAATTATGTTAGCTGAGTTTGGGTTGTGTTTTGTTTGTTTGGTTGGTTGGTTGGGTTTTTTTCCCAATCCCTCTCACTTTTACATTTTTACTACCGTTTTTACTTTTCTTATTTTCAACTATTCTGACAGATCTGTTATCTTTCTATAAAAGAAACAACCAAACTGTAAAAGAACAAAATATTGTCTAAATATATTGCTTAAAATTAACTTCAAGAGCATTGGAAACAATAAATTCACATTATTATGTCCTGCTATAAGATTAAAAAACTTCTTCAAAGCAAGCAGTTAAGTCTTACCATCTCCTATAAAAAATAGCCTTTTCTGTCTAGTGTATACTTCGAAAATAGAACTGTGGTGACTGGGACTTGTTAATTTCAGGTAATGTTGGAAATAGGAGAACATTTTTGAGGTCAGACAATTTGGTTGGGAAAGGAATTTCACCTGTAAATTTTTCAAGTCACAGATTCACAGATTTATGACATTTTCAGAGTAAGATAATGCTGTGATAGAAAAGCTAAGGATAAAATTGCCAAAATAGTTTAATTCTGTAATAAATCCTATTTCTCCACCATATTTACCCTGAATAATACCACATTTAATTGTTCTTTCCCTCTCTTTCTAGCAATTTCCTGATCAAATTGTAGGATTTGTTCCAAGAAAGCATGTGTCTACTTCATCAGGTATCTACAGTTATGGGGGCTTTGAGCTGCAAACACCAGGGTTTCAGAATGGTGACCTGTACTCCATGGTGCTGATTGGAGCTTCATTCTTCAATAGCAAATACCTTGAACTCTTTCAGAAGCAGCCTGCAGCTGTCCATGCTTTGATAGATGAAACTCAAAACTGTGATGATATCACCATGAATTTTATCATCGCCAGGCACACTGGGAAGACATCTGGGATATTTGTGAAACCTGTCAACATAGTCAGTTTAGAAAAGGAAACCAATGGCGGCTATTCAGGAATGTGGCATCGAGCAGAGCATTTCCTACAGCGGTCTTACTGCATAAATAAGCTGGCTAAGATCTATGATAGCATGCCCTTAAAATACTCCAACATCATGGTTTCTCAATTTGGCTTTCCTTATGCCAACCACAAAAGTAAGATGTAAAAGGCAAAACAAACACAGACAAAAAAATCAAATCTCAAAACTGCTCATTGTTTGAGTTGCTTCTTTGTGTCACCTCCTTGTTTTTGTAGTAAAGCATCATTATGAACTTCATCCATTACAGAAGTCTCTATAAAGGAAAAGAAGTTCAGTGCTTCTAAGACATAAAACTCTATTATCTTGAAAAGCTAAGAAGCTGGTGTCCAGATGGGCCTTCTGGAGAAGAGTCTGTATCCAGGGATTTAGCTCCTTAGTCAGCAATTTTATTGTTTACGTTCTGAAACTATTGGATAATTTCCTTGACTCGTGGCATTTGCCTTAAGGACTCGTATAGCAAGCAAGCAGTTTTCAGGGTCAGAAATTCGAGAGAGACGTTACTCACTTCATTTTCACTGAAGGTTGATTTTTCTCATTGAAGCCTGGGAGCCTCTTAAGCAAAAACTTATAGTAGAAGGAAAAGCCATGTGAATATAGTCTCTGTGAAAAGCCACTGAGAATAGTCTCAGTGTTATATATATAAAAGGAAATTCACAGTTACCATGCTTCCCTTGTGGTTGCTTCAACCAGTCCTCCAGGATTAACACAGCCTCGCATGGTTTTGATGAACCATTAGTACTTTTATGTGTATTGATAGGTCTATTGTTACTGGGAAGGTTACTTTTAGTAACTGAATTTTAGTGTCTAGTTGTTTGCTTCATTTTAACTGCATGGGTCACAAAAAAATGCAGCCTATGTTTCTTATATGCAACTAAAGGAGTAAATATGTTACTAAGTTCAAGTAATGCATTTTGTCCCTGAATCGAACTTCGAGAAATTATGTTATTTCTTAAATTTTATATGAAGTGTTGTCTAAGAAATATGTATAAAATAAGTCTTATGGAAGAATGACCAAGTAGTAACTGACAGAAGTCCTTAGTATCAAAAGATGTTTACTATTAGAACATAGACTATCTGTTGGATACTAGAGAGATTGTGTGTAGTGCACACAAAGTCAGCCTCTCACATTCTGAACTTCATCATTGTTGCTGTTTTTGTTTGCTGAAAAAGATCCAAAGCACTGTTCATCATGATGAAATGCCAGTTTCATGGATATAAGAATAAAATAAATCTGAGTCATAGCAGAGGAATGTAATAGGGGTCTGCATCAGTTAATTGTGAAGATTGCTCACTCTATTGTGTGAGTTGAAGGGTCTGTGTTCCACAGTGTGTGCACCTTAGCCCTTGTTCACTACTGGTGGCAAAGAACACCTAAGTAAATTACCACTTCCAGTGTATTTCTGACAGTGTAATTCAAAGCTGTGAAAACTGGAAAATCATTGTATCTATCTTCATTTTCTGTCAAGGATAGATAATAACATCAATACTACAAATGGATGATTTTAACAAACTCTAGTTTACTCTTTTACAATTTTTGAGGTTGCTGTTTTTGTTATGTCCCGTCAAGTTGCCTCCAACTCATAGTGACCCTAAGTACAAAAGCTCTGAACCCTGCTCTATCCTGAGCCAAGCTTATTGTCTCGGACACACCTACCCCTATTGCCCCAGTCACTGAGTCAGTCCATCTCATCAAGGGTTGTCTTTTCCTGCACTGTCCCTCCATCTTCCCAAGCATAATGTCCCTCTTCAAGGACATGCCCAAAGTATGTTAGATAAAGCTGCAGAATTCTTGCCTACAAGAGCAGTATGGTTTTACCCTCTCTAGGATGAATTTGTTTGTTCTCTTAGCAGTCTGTGGTATATTTAGTACTCTTCTCCAGCACCACAGCCCAAAGGCACCGATTCTCCTTCTGCCATTCCTAGTCATTGTCCAGCTTTCTGATCAAGTAATTGTGAAGACTCTGGCCTGGATCAGGCACACCTTAGTCTCCAGACTGACATCGGTGCTCTTCAGTACTCTAGAGATGTCCCTGACAGCAGACTTTCCCAATTAAATTCGTCCTTTGGTTTTCTGGCTGCTGGTACCAAGAGTGTTGATTGTGGAGCAAGCAAACTAAAGCTGTTAACAATCTGTCTCTTCACCATCTATCATCATGATGTTGCCAATCAGCCCAGTGGTGAGAATCTTTGTTTTCTTGATGTTGAGCTTTAATCCGTATTTAAGGCTGCAGTCCTTGACCTTCTGCAGCAAGTGCTTCAGATCCTCCTCAATTTCAGCAAGCAGAGTTGTGTCATCTACATAACGCAGATTGTTGATGAGTCTTCCTCCAGTCCTGATGCCACATTCCTCCTCATAGACCACAGCCTCCCAAATTTTCTCTTTTGCATTTCTCTTTTTGCATAGATTGAAAAGGTATAGGATGCATCCCTGACATACACCCTTCCCAATTTTAAACCATGCAGTGTTTCCTTGCTCCATTCTGACGATTGCCTCCTGGTCCAATTACACTTTTTGCATAAGCACAATCAAGTGTTTTCCCATTCTTCTCAGAGTCAGCCACAGTTTGTTGTGATCCACAAAGTCAAATGCCTTTGCATAGTCAATGAAACACAGATACACATTCCTCTGGTACTCTCTGCTTTCAGCCAAGATCTATCTAACATTTCCCGGTCCCATGACCTCTTCTAAACCCAGCCTGCACTTCAGGCAGTTCTCTGTTGATGTGCTGTTCTAGTTGTCTTTGGATTATTTTTAACAGAATCTTGCTTGCCTGTGATATTAATGATATTTTTCTATAATTTCCACACTCTTGTTGGGTCACCTCTCTTTGGAATGGGAACAACTTAGTGAACACATTCAGGACAGCATCTGTTGGTTGAAATATGTCAGTTCGTAAGCCATCAACTCTGGGGGCCTTGTTTTTTGCCAGTTCCTTCAGAGCAACTTGAACGTCTTCCTTCATCACCACAGGCTCTTGCTCATACATTGTTTCATGAAATTCTTTTTGGTACAGTGACTGTATACTCCTTCCACCTTCTCTTAATGCTTCCTGGGTCATTTAATATTCTACCCAAAGCATCCTTAAGTATTGCAACTAGAGGCTTAATTTGTTTCTCATTTCCTTCAGCTTAAGAAATGCAAAGTGAGTTTGGCCCTTTTGATTTTCTCACTCCAGCTTGGCATATTTCATTATAATACTTTGCTTTGTCTTCCATACTGCCCTTTGAAATCTTCTGTTCAACTCCTTAATTGCTTGATTTCTTCACTTTGCTTTGGCTTCTCGGTGCTCTAGTGAAATATTAAGAGTCTCATCTGACACCCATCTTGGTCTTCTTCCTCTATGTTTTTAATGACATTTTACATTCTTCATGGAAATATTCTCCATATCCTCCCACAGCTCATCTGGTCTTTTCTCATTAGTGTTCAAGGTCTCATATCTGTTCCTGAGATGGTTTTGAAATTCAAGTGGAATAGACTCAAGGTCAATTTTGATTACTGTGAATTTGATTTAACCTTCTTTAGCTTCAGCTTGAACTTCCATATGAGTCTACTTTTCACAGCTGATACTGAGCTTCTCCAGCAATTCTTCCCACAGATGTAGTCGAACTGATTCCTATGCATACAATCGGGTGAAATCTATCTGTATAGTCTGCATTTATGTTTCTTATAATATTTACAATAAATACATCATTGATTGTACAGAATTTCTTCACTCTGTCTCCAGCATCATTTCTGTCACCAAGTACATGTCTTCCAATTATTAATCCTGCCCTGTTCCCAATTCTTACATTCCAGTCACCCATTCTTATTAATGCATCTTAATTGTAAATTCCATCGATTTCTTCCTATGAGAGTTGGTAGAAGTCTTCTATTTTCTCTTCTTTGGCTCTAGTTGTTGGTGCATATATTTGAATGATAATAGTATTCACTGGACTTCCTTGTATGTATATGGATATTATCCTGTTACAACATTAAATTTCAAGGTGGATCTAGAAATGACTTTTTAACTACGATAGCAATCCCATTTTTCCTCACCTTTTCATCTCTGGTATGTGGATCATATGATTGCTTCAAAATGCCCATGCCAGTTCATCTCATTTCACCAATACCTAGTATGTCAGTGTTTACGCATTCCATTTCCTTCTTCACAATGTCCAGTTTCCCTACATTCATGCTTCTAACATTCCACACTCCTAATGTCTGCTTGCAACTATTCCCTTTCCATCATAGGGAGGTGTTGAATCAGATAGGCAGGAGTGGAAGGGGATGCTGATGGAGTGGGGAAAGATATGGGTCAAGAGACACTTGCCAAATTTGAGGAGCAACACTATTAGTTGGTTCTATAATTGGGAAATGTCTTTCATCTCCTTTCTGTAAAATTCTTGTCTGTCAGATACTGTTCTAAATCTGAGTATTGAAATTAAGATAAACTTGGAAGAAGAATTGGCCATCCACTTCCAAAATAACAGGCCTTCAAAAGCCCTATGTACAGTAGGAAGTTTTGGAGGCTAGAAGTCCAAACTCAGGATTCCCACTGTGTCTCCATCAGCTATAGGGCAATGTCCTTGTATCCTTTAAACACTTGTGGACTCCACATTTTGTTCAAATCTATGTGTATTGACTTTACTCTTCCATTGAATATAGGAAGTTCTCAGCACAGGTATCCCAAGTCCAAAGGGACACTCCATACTTACCTCTTCTTTTTTTGGTGGTACTGAGGTCTCTCTCTCTGCTCACTTCTCTCATCTTACCTTTTGAAGATAAATGGTGATGAAGGTCACCCCCCAGAGAAACTACCCTTACACTGGATCAGGGCTGTGACATAATAAAGTCTAGTATCCTTATCATTGATTGGCTGGTCAAATCACAGGAGATTATTCTATTGTTTCTTAACTGCCAAATTACATTATTGTATATCTGCCAAATCACAGAAAATCATTGCCTAACCAAGTTCCCTATTTTTGGAAAGTGAGATACAATTCAATCCTACAATGGCTAATGTTTCAGTAATGATGTCTCCATGTGGCAAATTCAGTATATATTGTTTGTCATCTAAATGGGGGTGTGTATTTGTCTTACGGTAGTTAGGCAAAACAGGTAGAACTCAGGACCTCATTAAATACCC